CGTTCGTAAGGCTGGACAATCGAGGTGGCAGTGCAGTGTGATTAATGCTCTTCATACTAAATGCTAATACTGTTCTTCTAGCCAAAAGCTTAGAATCCATGTGAAACTTCACTCAGGTCTCAAGAAGATCGGAAACGGAGGCAACTCGTGCTGTTTGCGTGACTCCCATTATTGACAGTACCCATGAACGGTTACCGAAGGTTTTCTTGTCGTTCTATCAATATCGACATCGCGTTATACCTTGAAATATCATTGTTGAAGGAGGGGGTGTAGTGAAGCAAAAGTTATTTCATATAATACATTAATAGTTTTAAAGCTGGCGTCAGGATCCTATGTACTGGTCCATTTTCATGTTTTTTTGCCCCAAAAGAAACTCATCAAAAGTCCTGATACTTCTTACGTCAGTTTGTAGGCTATGCATGAATAGCTGTTGTTTGGTTCTTACGCAGCAATTGCTCACGAACGGGGTGCGCTACACGTAAGCGTGTGAGTGAACATCGGGGCGAGTAGTGGGCATACTGTGAGAGCTGGGAACTACTTTACGAACTTGCTCTGGAGGTGTACTCTAGTATGCAGGATTGATAAAGCATTAACATGAGGCAGCAGACTTTGTAGACCCAGAGTACTGGCGAAAAAAACTACCGATTGCATGTATGATCAAGGGCCGTATGGTAGGTACTAGTCATCAGTAAAATGCACACAAATGTTCTTGCTTTCGGTTTCACTACGATTTTTGGTTTCACGCTGTTATCAAGGTCTGTTGCGGCTTATTTGCTCGAAAGGCAAAAATAAATGACCCGGAGTGACCATTCATTTTTTTGCGCAATTGCTTTCCTCAATCACCGATGGTCCTTTTTTCATGACAGGATTTCATTGTCCATAAAAAAGCGTGCTCAATTGGAGTTGTTCAGGTGGAAATCAGCGGGATCTTGCTCGTGAAAGGAATTTGAAAAAGCAGTTGGAACAGAAGAAAAAGGCTGGAGCAGCTGCAAAAGAAGGGAATGCGGTAAGTGGAAAAATTTCTCTTTATTTGTTCTTACGTTACTATGATTTGTGACAACGTGCTAAGGGAGTCTTTTCTCAAACACTATTGTTATACAAATTATACAATTTGTTATACAAATTTATAATTGAACGTTCAATTTTTTACCACTGTATTTTTCTCTCGTTGCCTTTTTCCTTTCTATCAGACATTACATTATGTTACCATGAATTCTAGAGCTAACATTTCCCCTTCTCGGTAGAGAGGTGAAGCTGCGAGTGGTCCCCCATCGCATCTTAGTTAACCATCTTCTTTGATGGCAAGGCTTGCCAAGCCTTTGAAAAACGCTGAAGTCAAGACATTCAATAAAAGGTGGTCGGGCAAGGAAACGCGGCGAGAAATTCTCGTTTCGTCAACTTTGCATGATGTTCTTATCGCTGTTTTCCTAGCTGGAGTCTCTGCTAAACCTTTGGAGGATGTCTTAATTGACTAGATAGTGTACGATAGGGGAAGTGTACGATGAAATGGCAGCCCATTAGAAAATTAAGGTAGAGTCAGTCAGTGATGCACTGGTGAAGAAAAGAAAAATCAATAAAAACGGCCTCAAATCGTGAAATGGCTTTTGCGCGCTGAATTCCGCAATGGACCGAGTTCAATTTGTACTGATGTCATCTCTGGGGCGCATCTGTTTTACTCTACTTTTGTAGGCTGTCAAATGCAGCCAAGTCTTTTTTCTGAGCTTGTTAATGCTTAAGCGATGTTATCATTATGCTCGCTTCGGTTTCTTCTATTGGCTCGGAGGGAATTCTGAAAAAAGCATAAATAAATGCAAAAATTTTTTTGTCGCGTCACCTTTGATTGTGTGAATTGTGACATAGCCATCCCGTGCCGTAGCCATTCTGATGCCTTGTTTATTTCCCTTCCTTAGTAGCTGTGTCATACTAAGTAATTATTGCCTTCGAATTGATTTTTCCTATATTATATTACTTTTCAAATACTTCCTATTGTATCACCGTGTTCCTATTTTTTTATGATAACGCCTCCTCCTTTTGTACAGTAGTATCAAAATAATTGATAAGTTGAGCTCCTTCAATCATAATCATGACTTTTCAGGTCAGAATGGCTCCCTCATTTTTACAAAACTTCGCTAGCCCATGAGCGATTTAGGAGTGTGGAAATCAAGCAATGCTTTTATAATAATAGTCGAGCATAGATGCCTATTTCGCGGTGTTCGCGGGCAGCGTTCTGTTGGGGCCCCGATTGGGGAGCTATCGAATTGGAAATTGTGGGAAAGAAATGCGAACAGTGATGAGTTTAATAAAAACCATTTAAACGGGATCGGAAAGTAGTAATTTCCGCGTCCACAAGCAGAAAAGTCAGAGTCTGTCGACCGCCGCCCACGGTTTGCTAGCGTCCGCCCCGGTACGAAGACATTCTTTGCCTTTTGATTATCCCCGTAAGAGCCGATATAGGTCCTCGAGAAAACAGTATTTGTGCTCAGCAGTGAGCCTGCTTCACTTGGCAAGCTTTTTCGGAGATTCCGGCCCAGTTGGCTCCTTGGGGACGCAAACGCGCGAGCCTGCCCGCTAACATACCCGTGCTGTGGGAATAGTATGTGAATTAGGCGCATAAGAGATTCTCATTTAGCAAAATTAGAATGATGGTGAGAAGCTAGGGTCCTCTGTCTAGGCAGCATAGCCGTTCTTGGGCATTGTTCCAAATCAATGCCTTTCTAATGTTTTCAGCGGAATTTCTTAGCGTCCAACTCCCTATTCTACTATTCCACTAGTCTTCCTATCAAACGTATAATTTTCATCATCATTTGTGCAATCTTAATCTCCGAAGTGGTGGAGGACAAGCGTGGCCCGAGAATCGCTCGGCGAAGCCTGACGGCTGCCCTAGCCCATAATGATTACGTGAACCCTTTGACGACAACTGGCACCCACCGGTGGGTGCCACTAAGTTTGCCGCCTGTGGGACAAATGGCACCCAATGGTGGGTGCCACCTTAAAATTTCCTCTTCTGCGCATTCAAAACATTTGTAACACCAGTAATTATGCGCTTACTTCCATTATATCTATGGCTAGCACGGCTTACAGGAATGTTTATTGAGAGCTAATTTATATAGAATTTTAGAATGTGCCACTTAGCTCGCCAGCATATTAATTGGGGTTTTGCATCATTAAGCTGAATGCTAATTACTAATCAAGACTTCTTCGTCTTCTTATAGCCCTCAAATATGGGAAGGGCCTAGAACTACAGTTATTACTGCGTGTACCGTGATAGAAAAACTGCTTTGAAGGACAATTTTGCCCCAATTTTGAGCGAGAGTTGGGCGCGCCAAAAAGAGGCGTGGTCCCACGAGCACGCTACGTGCAAATTCGCATTGTCGTCAAAGGGTTAATTCGCACTCTGAATGATTACTGTTGTTATTGCTCTCGTTAAGGGTGACTTTAACGTGGGATTTCAAGAGGCTCCAGGAGGCCGAGTGTGCGCCTAAATCGTAGGCCAACTTAAAGTGGTATTGCCAATGTCGGGGGGCTGGGCAAAGCACTGCGCTAGAACTGGTATGCCTCTAGCGTTTTGGAAGTGTAAGTGAACTCTTGAAAATGCGTGGAAGGGTACGTTATTGATTAGGAGAAATGAAGAATAAGTGAATGGGAGAATACGCGAACAGGATTAGAAGCATATAGTATAGTGGCTGATTCTATTTATAAGCTTTAACTATCGCTCTAGTCATGTTCCATTGACACCTCAGATGATGCGCGCCTGATACTTTTCGCCAGATCTTTCATTCTTTTAGTTCCCATTTCTCCAAACCTCTTAGTATAAACGCTCAGTATGAATCGATGATGGTAGATTTTTTCTTGATTTCCTGTACTCAAAACTTCAAAGCCAGTTTTTTGCCCACCACATGTTTTTTACACATGCGAAAACAAATGCTCCTTTTTGGCTATTTAGGGCCTTTCAACAGACGCAAGAAAGATTCGTGATGCTGAAGTGATGCGAATCAAACAAGAGAAGGCTGCAGCAAAAAAAGCCGCCGACGATGCAGCAAAAGCTGCAGACGCGAAGAAGTTGACCAAAATTGACCCGCTCAAGATGTAAAGGTTGATTTTTTCTGTTCGTTTCATTTTCTTTTCGTCATTTGCTGCTCTAGTAGGTGAATATCGATGGTGTCTCCTTTTTGTTCAGCAGTAGTGTTTATCACCGCGATTCTCGATGCCAATGATTGCAGTCAGAAAAGTAGTGACTAAAACATTTTGCAAATCTAATGCAACCAATCGATTGAAGAGCTAAAAATGATCAAAGAGAACATGAAGTAGAACTGTTCTGTGTTTCAATATTGTTCACCCTAGCTGACTTATTTGTTCAGATCGGAGTGACTTCACGTCTGTCTAATCGCCTGGCTCAGCCTCAGAGTCGTCGCATCCTTCAAAAAATTATTTGTGATTCTCCATTTGTTTGTTTCAATAATATTAGACCATCATAATGGTTTTGGATTTATAAATTTTCTGAATGCTCAATGAAATTGTATGTTTGGAAAGGTGAGAGACAGAAAAGCAGGTGGACACAGGTAGGACCTTTCGTTGTGCAATCTCCAACGAGGAGGTGGGGAAATGGGGTCGTTTTTGTAACATATGAGACGGGATCGTACTAAAAGGCAAGCCCCGGGATAGAACTGGTGTGTAAAAGCGCTTCGTAGTGATGACTGAGCTGCGGAATGAACTGAAAGTGGAAAGGAAAGCAAGAGAAATTTGGAAACGCTAAAATTAAGGCCTTAACCTTCAGTAAGGTCGGATGTGGTACGATGGCGAGACAGGGCGATCAAAGAAGACAAAACACGCGAGAGAGCACGCCGTTCGAGAGAGCACGCTGATCTCTATATCAATCGGTGGGTGGGAAGCGTTGCAACGAGGGTCGATGGTTGCAGGTTCGTAATGGATTAGCGCCCTAATCGCGCAATTTGGCAACGAAGCTGGCATGATCTATGAAGGTACGACCCCACAATTTCCCTCCTGGTATCCTTCCTATAGTCGGGCTGGTCCCGGGGTTCGCCTTTAGGTTCTAAAGGTTGGTCGAAGTGTAGGAGTGAGAAAGTTTTTGCATAGTGAGAAATTTTCACGATAATTGGAGAGAAGTTCGTGAAATGTGTAGTGTTTACTATTCGTCCGATGGGTTTTTGTAGTTTTGACGTGGGTTTATCGACCATGTAAAGGTGGTCCTGTAGAGAATGCTGTTTTGTTTTGTCCCAACGTGAGAATTGATACTCGCTGGACATTGCAGACTTTGGACAGAAAACCTTTCCATTTCGAACCCAAAACAACCACATTTATTCAGAACTTGCCATGGGAATATGGACAGACGATGAACCCTGGCAGTTAACCTCCCCTTCAAAAAGCGAGAAAGTGTCGGGTGCAGACCAAACACCACAACTGACGACGGCCTCCAAGTAAATCTGGTTAGAAGTTGTTCATAGTGATAGCTGATTTCTGGTAAATGATAGTTGTAATTAGTGACAATCGATAGAATACAACTGCAACAGGCTAATCATTTCATTGGCAGAAAACATTAACATTTTGTGAAGGCCGTCGTCACTTGTGGTGCATGGTCTGCACCCGACACTTTCTCGCTTTTTGAAGGGAGGGTATGTCATCTACCCTCGCACGCTCCAGAATGTTTTTCTTTGGAAATGAAATCTGACCAAAACACAACGTAGCACAGTGAAACTTTTTCTTCAGAGTAGTATGTATTCGTCAGTCGTCGTCACACAATGCCCACTCGCGTTCTATTGATAGATGTGTTTCATGGGAACTTGTGGGAAATCGTTCCTTTCGGATTCTGATGAAATATGCCTCTCTATTTGTTCTCACACTAGAACTTCCTCTTGATTTTAAGCACCTTCTGACATCTATTATTAGGCCGCAAATGGGGAGCGACTAACGAAGTGTGAAACGACTGACGAACTCGAAGTTGTCTGGCCAACGTTTTTGTGGGCCCCAGTTTTTTGCTTCTTATGAGTTGAGGATGGTTCTCTGTGGGGCTGTATCCTGTCTGTAGCTCAATATGGATCTCTAAAGTTGCAATTAGGATGATTGTTTACTGTTTGCGTTTCACGCCTGTGCAGCTGATCATTTGAGTCTACACAGTAGCTCCGCTACATGGATAGATCCGCCAGGAGAAATGGTTCTCGCGTTGAAGTTTGTATTCGAGATTTTGAAAACTCAGCCAGTAACGGCTCGATTTGTACAGTTCAGTATTCGTGAAGAGGAACAGTAATTTTGCAGCCAGATAAGGTCAGAGATTCCTGAAAGGAATAATTTTTTCAGCAGGACATTTTTTTTGATAAATTTTTTGCCTTGAGCTACGAAAGGGGTCATCACTTGCGTATCCGGTGAAATTCAATAACAGCAAATGTTTTTGTTACATGAACGTTCCATGAGTCGAATTTTTATTTATTTATTTATTTATTTATTAAATTAGGCTGTATAAAACAGTCGTGTAAAAAGGTAAAATAGACTGCAACATCTATTACAATAGAAGCCGTACTCTCTTGAGGATTGAGGTGGCGGCGCTTGCGCTGGCGGGTGGGTGGGGCTTCTGCTGTCTTTTTGGGGAAGGGGGTATGGCGGATTTGGCGCTGCGGTGAGCGAGCTGGTGGGGGTCTTCTTCTTCTGTGTCCACATGCTCGCCCATGATTCAGTTATTATAAGGAAAGGAGAAAAAAAGTCAGAGAGGCATGCGCAAAGCTGAAGCACGTCCGATCTGGCAGCTGCTAGTTTCACGCAAGTACTGTACCATATCGAAGGCATGGTACAGGACTAGTGAACTGGATTGGCGTTAATTTCGTCCTATAGTAACAATTGTGCTGTAATTGTTTGGTAGGTGCAAACTTATGTGGAACGTACGAAAAAAAAGATACATAAAATTGATGAGGTAAGGTATGTAAGCAGCCTGTGGCAGCCGCCTATACGCGAACGGAAATGAATTGTATTCATGAATTGTATGAAATGCTAAGGTGTTGCATACTTTTCCAAGGCTCTCTCTCTCAGCAAGAAGAAGATGATGACTCGAAATGGCCATATTTATTTTTATTTATTTATTGGATGCACGCGTAGGTGCGCTATTCCGGACACAAAAGTACAGCTTATACAGAAAAAAAGTTTGATAGACCTTAACACGGATGGAAAAAAACCATCACACAAACAGAGAAAAAAAAGCAGTTTTGTTTTTTTTCGGCCGAGTTGTTCTCAGACTATACACAAAATCACCTTTGTAAGAATCTAGGTAGGCGGATGGCGCTAGGGATAACGCCACTCTTTGACGACTATGGCATATATGTACAGAATCCGAAACTGAATTTTCGGATGTTAGGTATTCCCTAGCCCTAACAAATTCAGTTTCGGACCCGCCTGCGGAATTAATTGATCTAGACATTTTTGTGCACTGTTGGATGTATTTCTGGACGCTTTCAATCTGCTTTCCAAATTTGCCGGTCGATTTCCTTAGAGTTATCAAGCAAAAGAGAGCAGCGCTAGGTGTGCAGGCCCACGGGCGAGAGGTTATGGGATCGATTCCCGACGGGTTTTCCCTCTTGCCTTCGCAGCAACATGGTTACCATCTACGTTATTTGATTCAATCGCTTGCCTATAAGTCACCTTTACCGAAAATTTTGCTAGGAGTGCCTAGTTCTGGCGCTAAATCTGGCTACCGCAGCCATGGAGCATGCAGAACTCCTTGAAGACCGTTTTTGCAGGCAGGTAAATGTTCGCTATCGCAAGATATGCATCTACTGGCAAAAGGCAGATTGTGTAGCCACTCACGTGTCAGGACATCTGATCCTAGGCTCGCGCCTCTGAGCCAGACCACTACCTGCTTATTTTGCTTCATCGCTCCGTTCAGAAATTTTATTGGCAGATTTGAGATCAGCGTTCAAAAACACGTCTAGCAATGTGGGTCTTCCTGCATATAGCCACTGCGACCCATCGTCCTTTCGTGATCAGGTTAAGAAGTTGATAGAAAACCAACTAATCTTTGTGAGTCTTTGTCGAGCTACTTAGCGCAATTCAGTACATCGCCATTCCTTAATGGACGTTCAGTGCATGGCGCAGTCCAGAGTGAATCAGAAGTCAAGTCTGTCGTTGTTTGTTTATCCTTTTGAACTGGACTAGGTATCCTGAAAATGTCGAATTTCATTGACTGTAACAGTGAATGTTGCTCTGCTGGAAAGGAACAGTTAATGAGGAATCAACACAGAATTCAGAAATCAAAAACCAAATAACCACCTTACTGATAGTTGTGTAGACAGGCTTCCAGCTTACGGGGATGGTCTCATCTTCTAGAAGCTTGTATGGCAGAAAGGAGAGAAAATAGCAAAGAATGCGATGAAAAACCAGTCAATTTTGCTCCCTGGTATTTGCAGGCGGTTGCCACCCGCGTGATGGTATGCTCGAAAAGAACGACAGGCGCTTAGTAGTTGACCACATCGATAGCTTGATTAAAAAGTGAAGTTTGACTGTCTGCTTCTATCAACAAGAGAAATGCTTTATTTGTTTGGTGCTCTTCACTTGTTTTTGTCATACAGGCGGAAGTTTACATCGGAAGGGTGCGTCACAGCCACATTCCATTTCTTTTTTACAGTCAAATGAAAACAACTGTTTCACTATACTTTCCCATGAGCCCATTTATTCTGTGAGCATTTGACATCATCTTCGATTGCGCAAAATTCGTCGCTTAGAACTCTGCAAAGCTTTTCTTTCTGCTTATATTGGGTTGTCCAATAGGTAATCTCGTTTTTTTTTCGGTGTGAACTTCCGCTAAGTTCCCAATACTTTTGCTACTATACCATCATTTTATATACTTTTCGAAAGAAGATTCTCTGGTTTACAAAAATATTTAGTTTGGTTCCACATTCGTTTTGAAGGCGCTGGATTTCAAGTTTGCAAAGAGGGAGGCAAGGTGAAAATCGGTCGAGGATTCGCCGACGCTCGTCGAGGATTTTTGCCTGTTCAGTTACGCTCTCCCCGCGCGACATTCACTCTCGCCATGCGCGAGCCGTCTGTGCTCTCCGCGCGTACATTCACTCTCGGCACTACTCTCGCACAGTACAGAGCCATGGTCGAGGATTTCCTCGACCGTTATTCACCCCGATGGAAGATCCAGACACGAAAAGTAGCCAAACCAGCAGCTAACTCGATTGCTTGGTGCTAAGTGAGTTAAGGGGGGACTACGCCGCGGCACGGTACCTGTCACGCACTGGCTCTGAACCTGAGCCTAGAAGGAGGCTCAAATGTGCCAGAAGTCAATTCCAGATCATAATGCCCTTAGCTTACAGACTCATTACCAGGCTCAGGCTCAGCCCCATCGCGTTTAAGAAACGGCGCCG